TTTCATTAGCTAAAGGAAGAGGCAGTGTGGTATGGAAAAAAGAGCTGTGAGGCTGAAATGAGATAATATATGCACAATGTAGCACAGAGGCTGCAGCAGTGTCATTTTGGAAGCTTTCTGGATCCTAACCCAAAAGCACGCAGAACATCCAGAAAGGAAAATTAAAAATCTATGGAAAATATTTATGACTAAAAAAGGTACGGTTGTTTACTATTCAGACCCACCTGCATGGTATTGGCATTTGTGCAGGAAAAAGCAGTGGGAGAACCCCAAAATAGCCAACAGGTATCCCTGTAAAGTATAGGGGATCCTTTTGGGAACAGCAGCTAAAACTGAAAAGCGTCTGCTAACTCCAGTGGCCAGTGTGTGTGAAGGACCCATGGCAGGGAGTAAGGGGCTGGAGCAGGGAGCTTGCGGCTTCCTTTATATCAGGGTCTCACACTGGGGAGAAACTGCTGGAAATACAATAGAAAACTGGACAGGAAAGAGACCTGGCACAGTGGCTCATGCCTGTGATCCCAGCACTCTGGGAGGCTGAGGCAGGAGGATTACTTGAGCTCAGGAGTTTGAGACCAGCCTAGGCAATATAGCAAGACCTCATCTCTACAAAAATAAAAATAAAAAATTAGCTAGGCGTGGTGGTGCATGCCTGTAGCCCTAGCTACTCAGGATACCGAGGTGGGAGGATGCCTAAGCCCAAGAGATCGAAACTGCGGTGAGCCGTGATCGTGTCACTACACTGCAGCCTGGGTGACAGAATGAGACTACGACTTGGGGAAAAAAACAAAAGAAAGAAAATTGAGTAGAAAAGAGACCAAAGAGAAGATAGGAAAAGAAGATTCAGGCAAATGTAGGGGGATGTCAGAAAGCAAGCTGCCAAAGCAACAGGCTGGGAGCTCTGTGATGTTAGGAAGGCTACTGTGAACTGTGCTATTTCTAAAATGTCAGGAAAATTAACTTCCTGTAAAGGTTCTGTGTATTCATTTTTGTAGCAAACTGGGTGCCTTAAAATAATAGAAATTGATTTTTTTCTTGGTACTGGAGGCCAGAAGTTCAAAATCAAAGTGTCAGCAGTACTGGGCTCCCTCTGAAACCCATAGGAAAGCCCCTCTTCCCGGAGAAGAATGTTTTTTCCTGGCTTCTGGTGGATTGTGGGCAGTCTTTGGCATTCCTTGGCTTGCAGCTATGCCACTGCAGTCTCTGCCTTTGTCATCACATGGCCTTCTCCGTGGGTGTCTTTGTCTTTACAAAACCCTCTTCTTATAAGGACACCAGTCCTATTGGGTCAGGGTCCCAGTCTACTCCAGTGTGACCTCATCTTAACTAATTACATCTGCAGTGACCTGCTTCCAATTAAGGTCACATTCTGAGGGACTGGAGGTTCGAACTTAGTTAAATATTTTTTGGAAGGGCACAATTCAACCCATAACACCCCTCCAAAATGCTCTGGGCTGAATTGTGTCTCCCTGCCCCCCCAGAATCATATATTGGAGTCCTAACCTCCAACACCTCTGAATATGACTTTATTTAGAGATAGGACCTTTAAGGAGGTAATTAAGTAAAAGTGAGGCCATACAACTATGCCCTCATACAATACAACTGGGATCCTTATAAGAAGAGATTAGGACACAGACATGCATAGAGGGGAGACCATATGAACATAGCGAGAAGGCTTCTGCAAGCCAAGGAGAGAAGCCTCAGAAGGAACCAAGCCTGCCAACACCTTGATCTTGGACTTCTAGCCTTGAGAACTGTGGGACAATACATTTCTGGTGGCTAAGCCACCCAGTCTGTGATATTTTGTTATGGCAGTCCTAGCAAAATAATATACAAAGTTATTATAAGAAAAAGAGAGAATAAGAAACAGTATGATAGCCCCCTGGGTAATGAAAACACACCAGAAAGACGTAATCATGGACTCAATCCAAACTCTAATATTCTAGTTTGAAACCAACCAGAAGTGTTAAGAAAGTAATCCAAACATGAAAAAAAGTAAGGCAGAATTAGAAAAAACTGAGAAATGAGGTAATAGACTAAAGAAAGAATTAAAATTTTTAAAAATAATTTCAGAAATAAGACTAAACTAGAAGGAACATGAAAGGGAATAAACACTTAAAAGGAATAGAAGTTGAAAAGAACAAAAGTTATAAAGATCAAAAAAGAAATAACAAAAGAGAAGGAAAGCTTGCAGGAAAAGTGGCAGATGTTCAAGATACACAAAGAAAGTCTGATGTACAGAGAATAGGACTTTGCAGTAGAAACCCAAAACAAGGGGAGAAAATACTGTAAATGATGACTACAGAAAACATTCCATCAGTTACAAAAGAAATGTGGGATTCCATGTTGAAAGAACACACCACATACCTGAGAATATCAGCTAAGAACAACCAACACTAAGACATATTCTTGTAAAATTATTGGACTTTAAAGAAAGGGGATGAGTACAAACCATGAACAGCTAGACAAAAACAGCAGGTGACTTACAAGGGATGAAAATTCATTCTCATCAGACTTCTTGACAGCAGCACTTTATGCTAAAAATAAAATGAAATGAGATAGTCTAGATACTCAAGAAAAGGTAAACTCAGGATTTTTTTCAATTAATTAATTTTTTTTTTTTTTTTGAGTTGAGGGTCTCCCTCTGTCACCCAGGTTGGAATACAGTGGCATGATCATGGCTCACCGAAGCCTCAACCTCCCGGGCTCAGGAGATTCTTCTGCCTTAGCCTCCTGAGTGACTGGAACTATAGGCACCACCATGGCAATCCTCCCACTTCAGCCTCCCAAGGTGCTAGGATTACAAGCATGAGCTACTGTGCCCAGCTAAACCAAGGATTTTATACCCAGCAAAACTAACTTTCATATACAAAAAGCAGAAACTATTATAAACATTCAAGCCTTAAACACATAATTACTTGTGGGACTACAACCAAGTGACTACTATAAGGGAACAAGTATAATATGAATTGCTGTATAACTCAGACAATGTAGATTTGGCACATCTATTTTAAAACTGTGAGTAGAATAGGAGAACATATCTAAACATTATTTTTAATAATTAAATTGGTGGTAATTTTCTAATTGTTCTGGGTCTACTGTATACATAATGTGGGATAAGCTAAATTAATAATGATTGGCTACTCTATGTCCTTGAGAAGGAGGATTCTGATGTGGAAGAAAGAAGATTCCTTTGTAATATAGAAGAGACTAAAAACCATGTGGTTCTTGTTTTGAATTGGAAGTATCAGTATGAACTCATGGTGTATATTACTTTTTAAACATCTACTGAAGAGGCTTAGAAACAATGACCAACCCAGTAGCACTGAGACTTCTTAGTGTCCAGATTATGGTCGTGAAATGTCATTTTCCACTAAAAACATAAACCCTTCTTGGAGAAATGACTGATTCTGGGTCTTGGGCAGTAAAAGGATAACAGGAGGCTGGACCATCCTGTGATATCAGATAGCAAGAAAACAATGAAAGATACTTGGACCAAGGTCAAAAGGACCTAGGGGCCAACTTCATTTTCCCTTTGGCTAAAGATGAGAACATTTGAGTTTCAATAAAGGATAATAATTGCAAAGGATCAAATCTCCCCAAGTTGGTTTAAATCATGAATTAATACTGATTTTTTTTCCCAAAAAAATCCTTTGGAAAATGATAAGAGCACTTCATTATCCTGAAAACTGGAAAATGCAAGGAAAGAATCAAGGATTAATCTTGCTTTTCCTCTGTGAACTCTGTTTCCTGATAACCTCACTTGCCCATGAGGGGAAGTGTCTCTGTGTAGAAATGTTCTAACTAATAGAAATTAAATGCTAGAACCAGATTACCAGCATTTTGCAATTTTTGATAAATTAGCAAGTGGTGGAAGACACACCAACACCTCTCATCTCACACCAGGGGGACCGGACCTATGTCTGATCAGCCTCTGAATCTGGCTGCTGACATGCAGGAGATCCAGAAGACAGAGGAACACGCTGAACTATACCATGAGGGTGCAATCAGCAAAGTCCAGCCTGTAGGAAACTGTAGCTCCAATGCGTGTGGCTCTTTCACAGATAAATTGTATGGAAAATGAAGAATGGAGAGGAAGACCGCAAAGAACTTAAAAGGCAGAACAAAAACCTGGTTGTGGACCAGTCTAATGATTTTGTCTGGAGAGGCATACTTGTGTAATAAAAAGAAACCCAAGTAGAGGATTGCTGTGGGCCTTAGACTGGGGATTACTTTTGGGATGCAGGAGGGTTTGGCCTCGGTCTGGCAAGCATGGAGAGCCTCGGGTGGTAGCCAGTTTCTTTTTTGACGTGGGTGGGGATTATCAAGGCCTTTGCCTTATAATGACATGATCAATGATACCTTCATGCTGTATAACTTTTGTGTCTGTGTTTTCTTTTGTTACAAAGAGTTTTAGAAATATGTGCAGCACAGTGCCTGGAACATAGAACTCTAATAAGCTTCCACCTCTTCTCCGGCCTCCCCATCGCATGATGATGTGGATTTGACTTCCTTGTGCTGGGAACCAAGCTCAGGACTTTATATACGCTCCCTCATTTATTACCCCTGCTGCCCACCCCTCTATGGGCTCTGGGAAGGCAGGACCACGCCTCCCTTGTTCACTTTGGTGTCCCCAGCACCTGGCGTCCAGTCGGCACACAAAACATGTTTGTTGAGCAAGTGAATCAATGAATGTGTTTTGCAGTTGTGGATACTGACGCTCAGTTCATGCAGTTGACAAATCTCCAAGCTGTGCTGCCCCACAGCCAGGACAGGTGGAAATCGGAGAGTGGTCTCTGGAGTTCGGGTTTTGGTCCAGTTTGCAGGAGGGGCCATGAGGCATCCACAAGAAGCGGCTGGGTTGCGGAGGCCACTGCAGTAGGCTGTTGTCTCTGAGACGGGTGCTCCTAGTCTGGCCACTGCCGCTCCTCCCTGGTCCTCAGTTCTGTGGGAGCTGCGGTCCCGACTTTCCCGTCAGCCTTGTGTGCTGTGATTCCCCTCAGGCCCCACCAAGAGAAGTCAGACACCGTTCGCTGCATCAAGTCCTGCCGCCCCAACGATGTCACTTGCATGTTCGACCTGGTGCACACCATCTCCCACACTGTTGTCTCGCTGCCTACCTTCCGCGAGTTCACCCGCCCTGAAGGTGAGTGGATTGGCCTAGGGACCTCCCTTGGCTTGAGCAGAGGGCTTGGCCTGCAGGTGCCATTCCTTGTAAGAAGGGCTTTGGGGTCTGAAATGGAGACCCTTCTGACTTCTGCCTCTCCTCTGTGTACTCAGATGGCACAGCACCATTCTGGCCCATTCCTGGCTGTCGGTTCAGGGGCTCACTTCTTTTTTTTTTTTTTTTTTTGAGTTGGAGTCTCACTCTGTCGCCCAGACTGGAGTGCAGTGGCCGCTCCCAGCCACCGCAGTCTCGACCTGCTGGGCTCTGGCGATCCTTCCGCCTCAGCTTTCCAAGTAGCTAGAATTACAGGCATGCGCTACCACCCAGCTGATTTTTTGATTTATTGTAGAGATGAGGTCTTGCTACCCAGGCGGGTCTCAAACCCACGGGCTCAGGCAATCCACTCACCTCAGCCTCCCAAAGGCGCAGGATTACAGGCTGAGCCACCGGGCCCAGCGGGGGGCTCATTTCTTATGTGTTACAGTCATTGTACAAATAGCTCTTAAATGTGGATTCCTGTGCCAAGAGCAAGGGAGTCCGGGAGGGCCTTCAGGAGGAAGTGACTTCCACACTGAGGCCTAAGCGGTGAATAAGGGGTCATCGAGTAAAAGTGGGAGAAGGGGAGAAGAGGGTGCTGAGCAGATCAGGACACAGCCAGGAAGGTCTGGAGGTAACAGAGAAGTGTGGGCATGTGAGAAACTAAGCCAAATTTTGGAGGCTGAAGTGGTAGAGTCTTGGTAAGAGGTGGGCTGGAAGGATGAACAAGAGCCTGAACCTTGTGTTGGGGTTTCAACCTCAAGGCTTTGGGGAGCCATTGAAGGGGCAACTGATGAGATTTGCATATAGAAACATCATCCTGAGCTGGGCGCAGTGGCTCATGCCTATAATCCAAGCACTTTGGGAGGTGGAGGCAAGAGGATTGCCTGAGGCCAGGGGTTCGAGACCAGCCTGGGCAAATTGGTGAGACCTCATCTCTACAATAAATCAAAAAATTAGCCAAGCATGGTGGCGCACACCTTTGGTTCCACCTACTTGGAAGGCTGAGGTGAAGAGATCGCCTGAGCCCAGCAGGTGTGGAGTGTGGTGTGTGTGGTGTGGAGTGTGACACTGCACTCCAGCCTGGGTGACAGATTAAGACTCTGACTCAAAAAAAAATAAAGAAAGAAAAAAGAAGCATCATCCTGGAGACCCGGGGCAGACTGGAGAGGCTAGACTGGAAGCAGAGAGCCTGGACAAAAACATGGTCAGTATTCCCTGGCTCTTCAGGGAGCTCCTGGCATGCTGTATAGACCTGCTGTCACTGCACTGTTTCTCTGAAGCAGGGAAGCTGTGAGCTCCTGGAGCCCAGCAGGAGGGAGTCCTGCTCTGTTCACCTCACTTCCAAGCTGTGCTGCCTGCATGCAAGGGCTGGTGTCCCCCGCCACCCCTTCCCCCTGCAGAGTCTCCATCCCGGCCCTTGGATGTGTCAGCCTCTGGGAACATGGTGATATGAAAGAATCCTCTGACCCTCTCAGGGAAGGCACACGATTGAGCCAACTATGCCAACGCGCTGTGCTTACACTTATGCTGAGACACAGTCTGCAGGGTAACCTGGCCATGGGGGATCAGGAGGGCAGGACGCCCTCCCCCCAGGGCACAGTTGCCCAAAGGAACAGTCCCCAACTCCCAGCTCCCCTTCTCACTGCTCATTTCTCTAGAAAAGGAAAGGAGCAGAATCATTGCAGGATGGCACGGACTTGGATCTGAGAAAATCGCTAACTGGTATTTGCCTTGTGCAAAATGATGGGGTTTCACCAAACCACATACAAATCCTTCCCAAATCCCTAACGGCCAGTTTTGTGGTGTGGCCTCTCCAGCCAGTGCTGATCTGTGCGTCAGTCGCCGGCGTGTGGCTGGAGACACCTGTTAGCTTCTTGGGCCCAGGAAATCCAGACCCTGACCTTTAGCACCAAAAGGACCTTTAGTGGTCACCAGCCAGCTTCCTCCTTCACCTTACAGATGAGGAAACGGAGGACCAGAGAGAGGAGCCCCCCATGACCACCTAGAGACCAGTTTGCCTGCTTCACTGTTGGGTGCGCTGGACACAGCCCCAGACTGCCCAGTCCACACTGAGGGTGGCCTGTCTGGCCCTCAGCAGACAGAGGAACCTGCTCCTTTGACCTTTCTGCCCTCTCCATTCACCCCTTTTCCCTTGTCCCAGGTTCATGATATTTATGACCATTCATTACTTCTCAGCACTGTCACCGCCACTAATTAGCTCCAAGATCCAGACTTCAGTTTCCCCACTGATAAAACAGGCATGGGCTATGATATAGGAAGTCCTGGACGGACCCCTCCACGCTCTCCACACAGGGATCCGAGGCTGCGATGATGTTGCCTTGTGAACGGCCTCTCTGGTTAGGTCCTCATTCCCTGAGGGCGGGTTCCCGGGCTGCTGGGTTGGTGCTGAGCCCTTCTCCATGACCTCTTGCTGCAGAGATCATCTTCCTCCGGGCCATCATGCCCCTGCAACCTGCCAGCCAGGCCAACATCATCTTCGACATAACGGAAGGGAACCTCCGGGACTCCTTCGACATCATCAAGCGCTACATGGATGGCATGACCGTGGGTGAGTGGCCAGAGACATCAGATCTGTCCAAGCGCCCTTGCTTCTCCCCTAGTGGTGTGCTCACTGGGTGGGAAATCCTTTCTGGAGCAGCCCAGTTCCCATCGGAATCCCCTTCCCAAACCAATCCCACCTGTCCTTCAGGGCCTAGCACCAAGGCCCCCAAGACCCCCAATCCATCTCGGCCTGAAGAGCAGCCAGAGTGGTGACGCCTGCCTGGTATCCAATTCCGGCTGTGCCATGGGCTTTCTGGGTGACCCCTCTGGGTCTCAGTCTCCTCACCCATAAAATGGATAGGCTAAGTAGATCACTGTGCCTCACAATGGAAATTCAAATGATACTACGTGAGTCCGGTGCTTGTCCCTGGGCTGGGCACAGTCCCCCAGTCAGTGGGTGCTAATATGATTTTTATTCTTGGGAGGGAGAGCAAAGTAAGAAGCAGAGGATCTGAGCTCTAGTCTCGGACTCAGAACTGACTTGACTTGGCATGTGGCCTTGAGCAAGTCGTTGTCCCCTCGTTGGTAAGAGGGTCCAGGTCCGGTCCTTGTGCACAGCTCCTCCAGTGGGAAGCTTGACACTCTTCCTCCCCGGACATTCAGTCTCCAAAGGGGGCTGGGGCAAAGGGCGGCCGAAGGGTGTTTCTGTGGAGGTGACGGGGAAGGGTGAACCAGGCAGAGGGAACGGCCAAGGCAAACATCCAGAGGGGAGGTGTTGGTGAGTCTGGGACTCTGCACATAGTGACCTCTATGACTGTGGAAGTCCTATTGGTGTTTCTAGGCTGGGGCGGCTGTTGATAGGAGGGGGCAGGACCCTCCCTGGCTTGAATTCCAACCTGCACATCCGAAAGGATACTCGGACTCACTCCACTTTGCAAACTTGTTTCTATCATTCATGGTACCTCTCCTGAACTGACACATTTTATAGGATTTAAAATTCATGGGGAATGACAAGGGTGGTATCTGCCATTTTGGACTTAGATGTATACTCTGAACACTTTCAAAGAAGCTAAGCCATAGAGAGACAGTCCCTGCCCTCACCTGGGCCTCAATTTCCCCACTGTGAATTGGGGGGGTAGTGGGCTTCTTAATCCACTGGCCCTGGATTCTGTGAGGTCTTGACCAAACCCAGCATCCACGCAGTTCGCCCTGGAGGGAGCGTTTTAGAGAATGGCCTCCAGGTGGCGCTGTTGGACCTTAGAACCCCGGTCCTTGACTCCCCAAACCCGACGGTTGTTAAACCGGCAGCTGGAGAAAGGGAATCGTTATTTCCCTCTTGCCAAAGAGCCATTTATAGCAACTTTACAAGCTCTTAAATGGGTTTGCATGTTGTAAACATGACTGAGTCATTGGGGGGCTCCCCACCCCCAGCATCCTCCTCCGCTAGTTGGCAGCAAGAATAATTAGTTAATTACAATTAATGGCACATTAGTCCTCGCCGGGATTCCAAGGGGAAGGCACAAAGTTCGGTTGTGAGCAGTCATAGAACTCACTCCTTGCCCTGAGTCACGGCCCAGTGTGGGCCTTGGCTTCCCCCGCTGTAAAATGAGGACTTCGGTCCCCCATGTATGCGGCAGACAGGAGGAGGTAGGGTCATGGGTTTGTCCTACCCCACTGCGTGGGTGGGAGGTGAGCACCCTGATCATGGCTCACAGAAGCCCACCGCATGCCATCCCAGTGCTTGACTCTGGGCCTGCCAGAGTGACTGACACAGCCCAGCCTTGGGGTGATTCCCAGCCCTGAGAACCACAGGAGTTTGGAATCACAGACACTTCTAGTTCACTCACTCATTCGTTCTGTTTCTGAACCCTTCCTGAGCCCCATCTGTATCAGACCTTGGGCCGGGCCTTGTAGATATAGAGATGGATAGCCTCCACTCGCGAGGGTGCTGCATGTCAGCAGGGGAGAGAGGCCACCCCATAAACAGATCGTCAAAATACAATGCTGAGTCAGGCATGCACAGAGAGACAGTGACAAGCCTCGGTGACCTGCAAGGCTCTCTTGGCCTCAGGTTCCTTGCAGTTTTTGCATCTGTATTCCCAGCTAAATCCTTTTTGGGGTGACCCAAGCCAGGAGACTGGGCAACTGCTAAGCCCAGAACCAGCACCCACTAGTACCTTTCTCTGGCCATATCTGCACTCCAGACAGAACCAACCTAGGAGTTTCTGTTTCTCAGCTTCCCATCCACTGTGGCAAAAAAATCCTGGCATGTCACGGCCTGGAGGCTTCTAGAGACCATCTCTTCTAACCCCTTCTGTAGAAGGGGAAACCAAGGCCCAGAGAGGCCAGGGAAACTTGCCATCTTCTCACAGTGACTCAGGGGCAGAGCCCCAAGTGTGAGAGGTGAGTGCAGGTGCCATCCATAGCCATGGCCTTCCTGGGAAAAGAATATGGATAAGACCACAAGGACCGAGCAGTTTCCCCTCAGCACGGTTGGTCACGGGTGCTCTGGTCTTTGGAATTCCAGGCTGGGGCCTCACGGGGGGGGGGAGGGCCCCGGCCTGTACCTTGGAATCTATCCCGCCTATAGCACTGCGTGCCAGGTGGCCCCCAGCTCCTTCCACGCCTCGGTGTGTTTGCAGGATGTCCCATCTGGTTGGGTTCCTGGAGTTTAACTGATGCCAATGTCATCACTCAGGTGGGGAAACTGAGGCCAGCGGGGGCAAGGTCCTGCTGAGTTGGGACCTGGGCTGTTGCTGGGTGTGTTCCTGTCTCTGCACCCAGTGGTGGCTGATCTTATTTCTCTACTTGAGATTTCTTCCCTGAGCTTCCTTCTCCTGTACCTCCTTTCCTCTACTCTTGTGCCCCAAATAACTTCTGTCCACCCTGGGAGCCTCCTGGCCCCCAGGGACAGCTGTCCCCCACACAATTCCAGGCCTACCCATCTGGCGAAGGGTCGTTCCACTGCTGGGCCCGAGCTCAGGTGTGAAGCAGCCCTGAGAACGGGAGGTTTAACCCCACTAGCGTCTTCCCATTACTGGATGCCTTCACCTCCGCAGCTCAGGTTCTCACAAGTACCGCCAGGGATATGTCTTAATGATCTCCCTGGGGAAAAAGTGGGAACCAAGTTCAATGCCCTCCTGAGACTGTGCAACCAAAAAACTGCAGAGCCCAGAATATTTTCAAACTTGTTTTTAGCAGTGCAGTTCTCATTTCAGGCAATGTCTTGGAAGCCCTTTATATCAGCAGAGAAGAAAGAAAAGTCTTCCAGACCACTGCCACTCCCTGACAGGCAGAGAGGTCCTGAGCCTCTTGAGAACCCCTGTGCAGCTCTGTGCTACCTGTGGCACAGGTCAGGGGACACCTGCCCATCACAGATGCTCATGGGACACCCACCCACTCAAGGATATGCCCTGTGTGGACACTGGGCACCAGGATCAGGAAGACTTCCTGGAGGAGGCAAGGCCTGAGCCGAGTCTTGTTGCATGTGAAGGAGCGATGCTTATTGACTGCCTGTGATGACCAAGATCTGGTGTTTGTCACCACCACAGCCCTAAGACATGGTGGGATTATTCCCTCTAATGAAAGAGGGAGCAGGGTCCAGAGAGGGCAAGGGACTTGCCCGAGGCCACTCAGTGCCAAAGCTGAGAGCAGGTCTGAAGCCCACTCCAGACACCACATTCCCCCAGAGCTGGAGCCCACGGACGGCTGGTGCCATCCTGGGTATCGCTGAAAAACAAGCAGCATCCAAGCCTCCAGGCCCCCGGGGCTGCTGTATTCATTCCTCCTAAAGTAGCAGAAGAGGGAAAAATGCCCCAAGCCGACTAAGAGCCTGAAAGGGCCAGGTCTTCCTCTAATGTAGCCTTTAAAGCCCTGTTCTTAGCGAGGATCAAGGGGGCTGCAGCAGGCCGAGCTGTTGTCTTGGTAAAGCCTGCTTGCATTCCTCCTTAACCAGCTGTCAATGAAAAATGAGGAATGCATTTTCAACCTGTGCAAAAATGCTCCATTAATGCCTGAGGTATTCTCAGACCACTACAAAGCCTTCCTTATCCGGCTCTGGATTCATTCTTAGCTCTGCAGGGTACAGGCTGTAATCGGGGGGTGCCCCGGGAAGGCACTTTCAGCTAATAACTCTTGAGCGATGACTAGTGGGGCACCCTGGCTGCAGCAGGGGCGGGTTGTATATTATCAGCCTGCGGGGAAAACCAAAGGTAACCTGCGGCCACCCGCGTGTCCTAGGCCGCTGGGCTGTAGCTGGTGCCTGAGCCCCAGGCCTCCCCTCCACTCTCCTGCTCGCCGCTTCTCTGTGCAGGGAAAAATCCGTCCAGTATGAGGGTCAGTTTTGCCAGCCTTTCTACTAAAACCTCACCAGAGCCAGGAGGAGCTGGAGGGTACTCGGCTTAAGTTCTTTTTTGGCCTCCTGACAAATTTTGCATATAGCCCTCCTGTCCTCGAGCCTACAGAGTTGTCTTTGTAGCTTTTTGCAAGCCAGGTCCTCTAGTTGCACAGACATAGCAACAGAGCAGTCAGGAGAGGCTTCTTGGAAGAGGTGACACAAATGCTGCATCTTGACGGCTGAGGAGTGAACCAGACAAGAGGCATTGCTGGCCCCAGCACAGCGTGACGAGAGACAGGGTGCTGAGAGGCCACCACAGGCAGTTTGGTGCTGCCGGAGTGTCCAGGATGCCACACCGGGAGTTCGAGGGGAGGCTGGAAGGGGTGGCAGGGCCAGGCCTCGATGGACATTCTCCTGTGGGCCACGGGGAGCTCCTTGGGAGGCTGGTGCTGTCCACAGTGCTTCTAGATCTCGCTGCTTTAATTAACCCACCCTGCCTCCTGCAGCAGCACGAGGCAATGGTTATGCCCACTTAGCAGATAAGAAAACTGAGGCCAGAGGAGCTGGGTCACTCACCGGGATCTCCCAGCCAGGGAGTGTGCAAGAACAAGAGTTAGACCTGGGGCTGCCCAGCTCCAGGGCTTCCCATCCCCGTGGACCGCGTGAAGTCCTGTTTATCTCTGGTCTACGCTGGCTGGCGTCTATACTGGCTGGCATCTGTTGACAGCAGT